AGAATCCTAAAAAGAAAAAGAAGCTAAAAAATGTTCATTTAAGATTCACGGGCAGTGAAATGGTTAATTCATCTCCAGATGTCCTCATAAGGAGACTGAATAGAGCTAGGTCAATATTTAATGGTTTAAAAACCCTACTGTCTTGTTGTTTGCGCTTGTCAAATTTTAACGTCATCGTAGTATTGTATAAAGAATTGTACAAAAATATCCCTTGCTTTAACCATTGCTTTACTACAAGGGACTCTTAACGTATGGATTTATTTCCATGATCAATCAGCTTGTGCGAAGTAACACAGTCAGTTTTAACTAACAGTAGTTATTTACGCTACGGCACAAAGATTTTTAGCAATTATTTTAAGTCAACCGTTTTTCTCTTACTCGTATTATTTGATTGAATTTATCATCAAATTATAACTTATAACATAAATATATAATAACGTGTAACAGCCTGGCCACGGGACATTCGCCGTAGCGAAAATTCGCGCGGCGCGAACGGCGACGCGTCTAGCGACTAAAACAAATGTATAGACATGTATGGATCAAGCCACGCGTAGCGGCGAGTGGCGACGCGACCGGCGAAATTTACCGGGCGAATCGCGCGGGCGACTGGCGGCGCGGCGGGCGACTGAAACAAATGTATGAATCAGTACGGTGCAAGCCACGGAGTCGGGCGGCAAACGCGGCGGCAGACGCGGCGAATAGTATAGGGAACAAAATATTTTAGTTGTTTTCGCCGCGAAAAATGCCGGGCCAACAAAAACAACTTTAAATTCTATCCGCATTGACTTTTATCTCCAATTCTGGTTGAATATTAACAAGAATATAATCGCAGGTTTCAACATTCATTCTGGTATTTACTCGATATTTTTTTCTAGATGCATTCTATTTGTTGTGAAATTCTCCATCTATAACCCTATTCCTATTCATATCAAGTAGTCCGCAATCTCTTCCAAATATTATGTCTTATATCAAAAAACAATTACTTTCTTAGCAATATCGAGATAACTTTGATAAAGCCATTCCACTCTCGGCCTATCTGGTCGCGGCGGCAAACGTGACTTCCCGTGGCCCTCAAATCGCGCCGCGCGAATTTTCGCCCAGCCTGTCGCTTCGCCGTTCGCGCCGCCGATCCCCGTGGCCAGGCCGAACAATAAATTAAACGTGTCACATATGTATGTAAAATATAATTTTTGTGTGAGTATTACTTTTTCTCTGCTTTTTCTATGTTTGATAAAGAGGCAGCGAACTCCTATCTACTCTTTGACGTCATCATAAGTCAAAATTTATTTTTATAAACCATAATATGTATAAAGCGAAAATATACAACACCTCGAAAAATGTTTGCATCCCGAATCGTGCAAAATACAAATACTTAGGTAATATATTTTCGGATTTATTTATTACTGTCTTATCCTATACATTATATAGAGGTACGGGGCGTTTAGGAAAAGCGTGTAACTCAGCTCAGTTTTAACGCGTACAATTTTTGCACTGTAATATTAGTTAAGAAATCCTTTGCAAAATATTGTAATTCTGCAATTCTTTTAATGATTCATTTATTCCAGCTTATTATATATCAGGAAGATGCTTTTGACTAATAGCTATTTCCCCTCCGTCGCCTCTTACCACTCCACGTGAATTATATGGGATAGTGGATCAGAGGAAGACTAAATCTTTTTCAGTTTTAGTTAGTTAGTTAGTTCTAGTTTCGTACTGCGTAAAGACAATATCATGAGCAGGCGAAATATATGCAGATATCGAAATCTTTACAACTAAATATATATCCTAGCTATATAATTAAAAACCTATTCAAAGTAATATTTTAGATGCGTAGTTAATTAAATCTATCACAATGGCGTAATATTTTAAGTATATAGCCCAATTATTTAGCCAAAATGCTTTCAATTGTAATCTATATTAAGAAAATGTTTATTTTTTTCCTTGGCCTAAAAATCTTTTAAAGTGGTTTTTTATTTTCATTTCTTAATTACAAAATTATATACCTACCTATGTATCTGATCGAATATGTTTATGTATTGCTCGGGCTGTGTTGTAGAAATAAAACAATGTTATCGTAATAGATAGTTTATTTCTGTAGTAACCTAATAATTAAGTATATAACCTTTTTTTCCTCCATTAGCCCGACCTAGACCAGCTGGTCATCGGCCTCCCCTGTTGAAGGGATGATTTCGTTTGATTGTCACTTTTGACTGGCCGACGATCGCAGTACATCTCGTCTATCTATCTTTGATGCTACTCCTCTCCTTCCCTCCACCGGTCTGACGTAAATAGATCGTCATATCGGAGGCCAGGTCTTTGGTATTTCCTACAGTCCCTCTACGTCTATAATGGATAAAATGGAGTAGTGTTTAGTCCATACACCGCAACCGCATGGATTAAAATTTGCAAAACAGATGACGACCGCATGACCCTCTGCCGTGCACAGGCTTTTTTCACTTTGCTGAGAGTTTTGGAGCAGGTAAATCTCGCATGGGGGTGCGACCTTAGAGTATAAATAAGCACAGCTTGCTAATAAATACACCCCCTGTCCCTAAGGGGGTCGCTTCCGATACGGCATAAAGGCCTTAGCAGATCAAAGCCAGTCTCAGGTGGTGTTTAGTGGGTAGGCACTGAGCTGTACCAGTGAGTCTCGCGTAACCACGCAGCCGGCTGCGTGGTATGCTTAGAGCATTCACCATCTCCCTCCCCCGCGCAGCCCTTTACTTTTGCTTCTGGGTTAAAAAATACTTAGGGTGCGTCTAATTTGTTCGAAATAGGTAATTTTGTATATTTTTATTTTATCAATGCCTCAGAGTAATTACTAGCATTCGTATGAATGTAATTACTCTAAGATTAATACTGTCCACAGAGTATAAGTGGCATGACAAATAACAAAATGATTAGTAGATAAAGTAAATCAAACATCCATAGTCTTTTTATACTACGGCGTATGGACCGGGTCATTAAACAAACAAAAGGGTACCGACTCATTGGTGCTAAAATTGTATATGGAGCACCAATGCGTGCCGTGCGTCCGTGCAGTGTTTCCTCTTTTAGATAGTTTGCACTATGTTAGGGTAAATATACTAATATAGAGCTTTAGGAGTTTCTTCCAGTTGAAAGGGTTTTGGGTAATTTGGGGTAAAACCGAACTTCATGTAACCCTGATTTTTATTCTCACCAAATTATTTTTTTTAAGTTTTATCGAAGGTATTACCCTTCAAAAGTGCTAGTCAAAAGAGTCAAAGAAGTCAAAAGAGCTAGAAAAGTGTACAATGATTTTCATTAATAAATAATAGTACACGGTTGACCGAGCTTTGCTCGGTATTTTTCGCTTGGTTTTTTTAATTTGTGTGTTTTGGAAATTATATTTAGATACAAATTACATACTGATGAAATACGAATAATATTTTTTGATCTTAGCGACATAATAGAAAAAAACTGAACTGGTTATTTGAATAAAAAATCATGAGTGCAATTAGTATAATTTAAATTGTCGTGTTGTTAAAAATACTAAAAAAAGGGCTCGAAAAAATAGATTTTCTCAAAAAAGAATGGAAGTGGAAAAAAAATTAAAAAAAAGTCGGTCGGTCGGTCTGGGCTCGAACTGGGTATTACGATTTTGTGACCGCCCAATATACCAATTAGGCTATTTGTAATCATTAATAAACTGTCAAAATTTACCTTCTTATTCTAACGATATTGTAGCAGTTTTTCATTGCCTAAAAACACGGACAAAAAGACATTTTCTAAAAACAAATCCTAGCAGGATCGATTTATTGCCCCCGAAACTCCCTGCACACAAAATTTTATGAAAATCGTTGGAGCCGTTTCCGAGATTCCGATTATATATATACAAGAATTGCCCGTTTAAAGGTATAGGATAATTAATAGAATAGAATGATGGTACATTTTTGCTTAGTTACATATTCCTATTATATATAAGACTAAGTATTATTAGGATTTGAAAATGAGAACGTCTTCTTCATCACAAAACTCAAAATTTTTAATCGTGAAATGATATTCAATTCTTGCAATGATGCTGTTCTTTAAAATATTGAAAATTGGGTGCAATAAATGAGGCTATTTTGATTTTTTCCGATAATTTAGGGAGTATTTCTACAGGTTCTAGGGTAAAACCAAAATCATAAGTGAAAACACTGGTGCCATGGTAGTTCATGAGTATTTAAGAGATGGCGATGATTTATTTTTGTTCGCACGGCCATATCTTATCATCTCAGAATACAGAAAGAACCAGAAGCCGCGTTCAACTGTATTTACATGCCGCGCACTGTGTCCAAAAACAAAACGAACGTCCCGCGCCCGTCCCACTTCCCACCCGCGTAATATTGCTAGCTCAGAAAGTATTTATAATATTTACCACTTTTTGGGGTAAACGTTAGAGGTAAATTAATAATGATAAAATTATTATTATCCATTCCATATTGTATTAATATTATATACATAATAATCTCAAGAAATAAAAGTAACTACATTAAATAAAACAAGGTTTGAGAAAGGAACCAAAACATTTAATTTCCTTTTTGATGAGTAAGCTTTTTAAAATATTGTCGTCTAGAATTAGAACTAATCAGGAGAGATTTACATTTAGATAAATAATGAAATCTTATATCTAGATATTTTTCAATCACAGCCCTTATGAGATTGTTTCTGTGGCTTAGACCATTTATATGACTATCCTCAATCGGAAAAATGCTATTTTTTCCAATGAAGTCCTTGTAAATTGAAATGACGATAGCTAAACGTTGAAAGTTTGAACTTATTACGATATCTTCGTTTGAAATTCTCCGGACATGCGCTTCACAAATACAACATATGTCATAAATACTCTGGGAAGGGAAGCAAAGACCACCTCTATTTTTTAAACCGATCAGTTTGTGAAACCATTGGACATCAGATGCTAACATTGCTTCTATACAAAATTGACATTTTATGTGCTTTATTAGATAATGAGCTACACAACCCGATATATAACCTACGATATATTTTGACAAATCTTGTAGCTGAGGCAAATCAGAAGACAATAATTTTGCGATACTGCCCCCATTTTCTTCAATAGGTGATGTTGAATTTTGATTAAATAGCTGATCGTTATCTTCGTATCTTTGCGAGTGTGCTGAGAAGTTAATTGCTTTAGTAGACGATGAACAACTTAATATGCCTATGTTTTCAAGGGGTATACAATTGCCGCTATCGGAGGCTTTAAGTTCTAGATGACATAATATTTTTCGATAAATACCTTTAAATTGTTTTGCATTAGGGTTGTCATTGTGGCCCCCGTGCATTCGTATCATTCCAAAGAGTAGTTCTAAATGGTCCTGGCTGCATTTATATGTTGGTATAAATACAAGCATATTGTTGGTCTCGACTAAACTCTCATATAGTGATTGCAGACTCTCAATACATATTAGAATACCAAGAAAACCAGTTTTGCACGCACATTCTAACACCGGTTTATAACTTTTTATTATAACTTCCACGTGTCTTTCATCTTTCTTAATTTTTCTTTTAGTAGTATTTTTAATTTTTAACCCACGAATATACGTTTTCATTAAATCTAGAAAATTAAATATCATTTCTTTATTGCGCTTGTTCAATGGTTGCTTATAATCAAATTGTTTCATATTACGGGAGTTAAATATATCAAAGAGGTCATTCATGTTTTGTACAAACGTTTCAGTTGCTTTTGAATTTTTAAATGCAAACAATTTTGCATCCTCTCGACAAAATTTTAACGCTGTTGCGACACTTTTACTTAAAACTTGACTAGCAAGTTTAACTTTCATAATATTGTTACGGAACATAATATGCCTACGTGTAAGCTTATTTGCAATATGAAGTCCTTCATTTTCTTGGAGTTTGTTTAATTCACATAACAGATTCCAATTGATTTCTTCATCGTTTTTATCTTGGATATATTTTTTAGATTCGAAGTGGTTTCTTATAAGTTTAAACATGTGAACGGGGTCTAAGAAAACAGCTATATTAGACTTGTCTACGGGGTGTTTAAAAGTGGTCCTCAATTCATTTTTAATGTCTATTTTACACCCTAGTAATTTCATTGCCGTTATGTTTGTTGCATGCCCATCAAACGTTAAAGATACTACTTTAACCCCAGCATCATGGCATTTGATGAGGCATAATTTAATTAAATTAACTTTTTGTTCTGCATTTAAACCATGCACCAAAAAATATCCCAGAGGCAATTTAAAATTGTCATTAATTCCATTTAATAATAGAACGTACGCCTCAGATGCTAAGGTTTTGCACTCTTCAGAATTAGCGGTCCCCATATCGACATATCCACAATTTTTTTTCCCATCCCACAAACTTTGTTGTCTGATGGACATCTCATCAACAATTAGCGAACAGATAATGTTACGCATGGAAGAAGAAGCTTTCTCCTTTAAAGCTATAAACGATTCATCTGAGAATCCAGGCTCTCCGCTTACATTGGAGTACCATTTAGACAACGTTTTCGGGTGTGGAAGGCACGTGTCAAAAGTAGCCCTTACATACCTATAGGCAGTCGGTGAAAGAAAATTTAATGTCAGACAAAACTTTTTTATGGTGGCATTGTACTTTGGTTTCTTTTTTTCTCAGGACGCATTTTTTATAAAGATTATTAAAAATATCAGCTGCTACAATATTTGACGAAAGTAGGTCATAAATATCATCGTTGACATAGCGATTATTTTTCAAATTCGTTAGGACACTTTTTAAAGATTCGTTCTTTTTTACAAGACGTTTATTTTTTTGTTGTAATGTTTTAATTCGCCGGACATGTGTCTTACAAATTAATTTTTTGCTGCGTAATTGGGATCTTAGTTTCGCTTTTTTCGGCGTATCAAATATATAGTCTAAATCAGAAATATTCACATCACCAATCTCTGAGTTTGATTGAACAGGCGAAGCCTGAAATCAAAAATCTTAGTTTATTATTCATATCATGTAATATTAGAAGGTCCAGCAATAAAGAAGGACAAAGAACGCATTCACTCGGAAATATTAATAAATGTAAATAAATCGGTAATGGTGTTATACTAAAACTAACTCCATCCAAAGCTTGTAAAAAAATAGGTAATGATAATATACGTACATTTTTAGATGTTTCAATGCATAACTCTGACGCTGTTGTTGCCATGGCCAAATGCTGAAATATTATATTATTATTATTTCATTTTAAATTACTCATAATATTGTACGAGTTTTCCGCCCGTGGCTGCCAAGTGAGATAAAATATAATTAATGTAAATATAATGAAACTATAATTATCTACCTTATTTGGAAAAGCTCCCTTCCTAAGCCTTCTGAAACCTCGCTTTGTTTCATAAAAATATTTGTCATCAAAATGCATTGAGCAAACTACGCTTCGCTTTGACGGTTTCCAAAACTCTTCTAGCCGTGCTCTTTGTATAATTTTAGTCCACTCCGTTTTCCTTTTTTCATCAGCAGGGAAACTAAAATTTATCAAATATCTATAATATTATAACAATATGGAATTAATTGCAAAAATAAACAGTATTCTCGCGAGGGAAATGTCCGTATATTATTATTTTGTTGAAAAAGTTCACTTTAAGCGATTTTAAAAAAATAATAATACTAAATACCTTATCAAGATACTATCTACACATATATGTGTGTGTATGTAGACAGTATAATATATATATATATATATATATATATATATATATATATATATATATATATATATACACTGTCTTTATCTATATATCTATTGTCTACATATATAAACTTATATTAAAGCTCAGTTAGATATTAGAATTACCAACGCTAGTAATAAAATATTAACGCCAACATAACAAAGTAGTTAAATTATTTCTAGTAAATTATATTAATACTGTTTAATATCACAACTATATGGCCTTTAATAATTAAAAGTAGGGAAAAACAAAACTGTTATACTGGCAACACTTACAAGATTGACGCATCATTCTCTAATACAATTACGAACAAAATAAATAATTCAATTCATAAATAAAACGTTATCTGAATGAGCTACTTACACATGAAATGTGATCCCATCCTTTTTCTTCTGGAGCCCAACAACATTTTTACAGGTAGGAATGGCACAAGACGGCATAATTTAATTAAATTTCACACTTGCAAAACACGTCACACCATACGACGTTCACAGAGTGACTATTCGCCTGAACGTGAAAGTACACCATTTTGGAGTAGTTTTCGTTGCCTCAGTTTTAAGCGCGTTTGCGGCTTCTGGTTCTTTCTGTATTTGAGCTTATCATTTATATCAATGCAAACATCAAAGAAAATTATATTTGATGTTTGATTTGTTTTATCCAAAGAAATTCAAATATATTTACTACTACTGTAATGTCTTTGGTTTTATCTAAAAAAAAATACCAACACTTGATCTTTCGATGCACTGAAATCTCATGTTTTTGTAATATACCTACAGCTAATGTGATACTATCCAAAAATATAATTATCTTTGACCTAAATAAGCATCAACAACATAATACGTATTTTACGGGTTTTATCGCGTTTAAATTGACTTAGTTTTACTTATTTTAAATTCCGATGTTTCGAAAGGTGAAGGTAATCCCTCAGTTCTCCAGTGACCATGAATGCTGTAAAGCACCGGCATTGCTCGATCCCGTCGACCCAAACGACGCAGGCACATCACACAATAACACTACACCGACACAAATGGGACAATCACCAATAGGATAACGGATGGGTTCCAGCACACACCGCGTACACACCGTACACCCGGGTAACTGGGCAGTTCTCACCACCAAAAACTTCGACCGACACGAGCTAAGCAGTCAGAAGCTGGAGTCCGTACTCCGTCACTCGGACAGCGGTTAGATAGCTCAAACACCACCAAAGATGCGATATGATGATTGCTAACAATATCAAATCATAAACCATCATCATCATCATCATTCTCATCTTCATTGCCTTTCTCTTTTTAATCAGATAAGCTTGAAAGGCCGCGAGCCCTGGGTCAGATGAAGCTGTAAGAGCTGCATAGGCTAACACAGCGTTAACATCACAGAATAAAGATACAGCACCCGATGCGTCGGCAATTTAATGTAAAATAAGATAAAATTAATTTCGATAAAATTAGTTTCAATTAATGTGGACTATTCGTATAAATATAAGAAATCATTATGAGATTATAGAAGGCAATAATTATCTTGTTTCTTCTATTAACTACTTCTACAATCTCCTTTATTTTATAACTTTAAACCCGACTCACCCTTAAAACGATGTGTCAAAATTTAAACTTTGAAAAAATCGAACCCATTTATTACAAAAAGTTTATACTGGTAAGTTAAAAATAATAACCTTTAATAGGAGAACCTTTAACTACAGTCAGTGTTGACTATTATCTGACCTAGTGGTAAGTATCTAATAAGTTAGCTTATTCAGTATTAGGCTTCGGCACTATGGAGTGTAGAGGTAAGGAGTACAGCCGTGTATAAAAATGTGTCAGTAGGAAAGCGCTAAATAAGGGTGGCGCCACTGTAGCTACAGTCTAAATTTTAAAGAACTTTTGTAATTTTTTATTGCACAGACTTTCACCATAACTCTTTTTACAATAATTATTTTATTGCTTTCAAAATTTTTATTTTCAAAATCCCTCAACGTGTTTTACGGCGATTTAATATACCCCGTAGCTACTCGAGCGCTGTAGTGGAGAGTGTTTTAACTGTTATTTACTCCTTACAGATGGACACTTTATCAACTATTCTCCTATGGGAGTTGATACTCTACACTTTTGACTCTCTACACTGAGTACTTCTACACTCCATATTCGGTACAATAAAGCTTGTATGTAAACAGTTTTCTATTATCTGTGATGGTAGTGCTGAGTCCTGAGTCTATATAAGCCAGACTGGCTAGTCTGGCTTATATAGACTCAGGACTCAGCGCTGTATAAAAAGAGGACTAATGATAGTGATAACACATAAATCAGTGTTCGAATGAATTATCTAATACCCGTCTGAACGGTGGTGTGCGGATACGGAAAATAGTGATCCGGTTCTTAACACTAACCTTAGGAAACAAAAGAGTATTAAGCTACTATTTTACGCTGGTATTCATTGTTATTTTTGAGTGTTGTGGAGAAAGAAGTGCACATCGTGCTCGTCTATGGGCGTGGTGCAAGCCATACCATCCGCAGTCGTCTTAGATTATATACCTTAATTATGTACTCTACTCACGTTTACTTACGCATAGTATTGTGTCAAACACAAATAGGGTCTCACGTCAAGTACGTTGTGAGGTCTGCAAAGACTAGGTAATAGCGCAGATTTCAGATTGAAGGAAGTTTAAATCCGCACGAAGTTCGGAGTTACGCTGAAACCACTAGGTTAGCTTGCTTTGTGGGTGAAGCTGTGTTGAACAAATTGAAAGTCGTGTAAATTACTCTTGCTAGCGGGGCAAGACCGTAGTTATTTTTGCCGCTACCTAATTAGATAGTAGGTTAGAGGTAGGTTTGATAATTATCAACATAATTTTTTTCTTTTTCTTTAGTTTCCAATTATATTCTTAGAATTTGTTGTTATTGTCTGCCAAGAGGCCTGCTCCTGCGCTTACCTGCTCAATATTCTTCGTTACTGGAATAATTTCGGTTATGTGAAGGTTATATACTAAGGTATAACGTAGCCCTAAAAGTAGCGTTACCGTTATTTTATACCGGTGGCGTGTCGGTGAATTTTAACCGCTTTCGGTCTAATATTTTATACCTGTAGCGTAACCTCATACCTTAACCACAATCAAGTCATGGTTTACGTAAGACATTATAAGGTCGCCTCATCAATATTGTTAGCCATACTTTGGCCACACCTTGCAGAATATATTCGCGCAATATTGCTTCATGTATCGCCGAGCTATTGAGCTCTAAACGTGAAACAACATTAGGGCTACAGGTTAAGCAACATTGCACAAAGATGTGCGACATACATAGATGGCAACTTTATGCTTATACAATTTCACCTAGAAATGAAAAACTAGCCCCTACGTGCGCTTTTATTTATTTATTTTATGCAAGTTTTATAAAAATGAAGTTTATGTCCTAAAGAAAATTTGCTTCTACTATTAACTAGGGAGTGGTCGGTGTGAAATTGGGCTCGATTGCGCACAACACAAATGTGTGCCCGTAAAGGTTACATAGGTATACCTTTGTTGAAAGTGACCTCGAGATATAGACCGAGTGGTATTTGGGCTGACACGTTGAGTTTACATGCACAGCTTGTTAATCAAGCCGTCGTGCCAACCTCGTTAAAAGCGTTATGGTAGCATAGACATGCGTCCTTAATATAGCTACTTACTGTGGTCGTCAGGTCCAGCCGATTCTAGGATTCCTTCAATTTTTCTGACACGGTTTCCCAGCAATAAACAATATTTTATTAGTTGACGATTTACCCACAGGCTCACTAGGCTGGAGCCTAAGGCGCTAGGTTCGATGGGGCGCTGAGATTGCCTTTTCAAGCACCGCTTATGTTGGTACAGAATAAAATCTGGTATGATTTTCTCAATAAGTAATATAGTAAGTGCCGTGGCAACAAGTAAAACTCTTGATTTTACTTTCTCTCTTCTGCTCTTTCTATTTTTGGTACAAAACTAATAAATAGATTGTAAAAATAAGACTGAAGTAGTTGGTACTTTTCGTCTTTCGTTATCTGACTAGACCTGAATCAAAGATTGCTCTGAATCAAAAACTGCTCAAGCTCTCTTCTCTACCTCTAATTTTATTTAGGTGTTTTGCCAAGGCTGTCCAAGGGAACTTCTGTCAGAAGAAGACGAGCCATACTGTAGAGGAGAAACTTGATCTTTCAGGTTCTCTTTGTAAGTCCAGCTCGACTCTTAATGACAGGGGGTACAAACTGCCAGCCATCCCACGGTGTGATTGCTTCATGCTGGACGTGCGGTTTACACAGCCCTCAGTGAGCAAAGCACTCCTCTCCCTGGACACCTACAAGTCAAGAGAGCCTGATGGAGTCCCTCCTATTGTGCTGTAGATTGGATCTCCGAAGTTAGCATCGGTTCTAAGGCGTTTTTCCGGTACTCCTACTCCCTAGGATAATCATAATCCTAAACTTACGGAAGGCAGCTTTAGTGCACCCGATCCCTATAAAAGTGACCGATCAGACCCGTCCAACTACAGGCTTATCACCATTACATCATTGTTCTCCAAAATAATGGAATCCATTATAAACTGCCATCTTAAAAGTACCTTGAGGACCACCCCATTGGCGGTCACTAAGCACCTAGTCCTAGTTCTAATCTTGTAATTTACCTGATTCATAGATAAGCGAAAGCAGTAGAGTCCAAGAGGTAGGCCTTGGTCGTTACTTTGTACATAGCGAATACCTTCGATGGGTATTGGCACAAAGCACTTCTTTAGGAGCTTACTTACTATGGGCTTCCTGAAAAATTGAGCAATTGGATCATCAGTCTTCTTGCA